ATCTCAAGGATTCATTATTTTATAAAAGTATATGGAATGATCTCTGATTAATTAAAAAATTTGGGGTAATTTCTTGCTAAATCTGCTTAGATTCTCATGATTATAATACTTGTGATTAGGAGGCCATACTAGATGAAGTGTATCAGTGATGCCATTTTATTTCTTCTTTGCTTAAAGTTGCAAAGTAATATTATTTCCAGTTGTAATTTCTTAGAAGAAATAATTTAAACTACTTTATTCACTTAAGTAACCAGGAAATCCACTTACAGCACACAAACTACAATGCATAGCAATATACTGACTATGAACAACAAACCCTTCATATCATCATCAAACCCTCTATGTGAAAGAACTCATTTACTGTACATCGAAATCTAGTTGGATATGAGTCAATTCATTCTCAGAAATATAGTGAATATTAATATTGTGTCATTGTAAGTTAAAAAGTATATAATAAAGGTTCTCTAATATTTTCTCCTGCCAATAGCTCTAATCATCCAATCCCAAAGATGAACATCTCACTTATAGACCAGCATTTTTTACATGAATGACTTAGCTGAAGACATATGAAGCATGCATTTGTTATATTGCAGTGACCACAAAATAGAATGTACAAAGTTAACATACTGGATAGTTTGGTTTTTTCATTTCCTGAATTTGTGATATGAATAAAGTTCTAATTAAGTCCAAGCCAAGCATAATACTTTCAAGATCGTAGAAATGGAGAGTACAAGGTAGAATCCACCAGTTACTGGAGATTCAGACTTGTGTGTTGAATATGAGATAAATCTCAAAAGAAAGATCATCTCAAGCTTTGGTGACAGTCAAATAAGTAAAGATACGAATGATAGACATTCCTATTTGATACTGGGATATGAGCATTTGGGAAGGTAGAAACTATAGTATAATGTATATTTAATAGTTTGTTTTGCTATATAAGTAGGAGCCTATTTGCTTGCGTAGTTTTGAAAAAAGTTACTTTAAAAAGAAGAAAAAGGGCAAAAAAAAAAAATAAAAAGTAACCAAAAAAAAATTTAATTTTCAAAAAAAAAAAAATTCCAAAAGAAAACTAATATTGAAATTGAAAAAAAAAAAAAACTTCAATGATTTTTTCGTTTAATTGTTTTGTTTCAGAGCTTCTGTTGTTGAAACTTTTGTTTTAAAAAAAAAAAAAAAAAATGTTAATTAAAATGTTGAAAAAAAAAAAAAAGTCATTTTTCTTGGTTTTTTTTTTTAGGAAAGTTTATAGTTTATTGTTTCTTTTTTTTGAGAAAAATTTTTTGTATAACTGGAAAAAAAAAAGAAAAAACGCTTCCTTTGCAAAAAAAGAAAAAAAAAAGAAAAAAAGAGAAAAAAAACATCTAAAAAAAAAAAAAAAAAATTTAATATACTTTCAAGAACCAAATCATTTTCGTTCTTTATTGAAAAAAAGTTTAAAGATTTCTTTTACATTAAGCAAATTTCCCCTTATTTTCGTAAAAAAGGAAAAAATTTTTTTGAAAAAATTCTGCTGAATGAAAAAAAGTTCAAATTTTTTGAAAAAAGGCT